CAGGTTTTGCTTCCGGGGTGGTTTTTTCTTTCTGCGCCGCGTGCCTAGAATCACAAAACTCCGATCTTTGAAGAACTCAGGGTCTTGCTCTGGTGAAGCTTACAAGCCGCAAGGCAGAGTTCGGCTAGACGGCTGAAGTCTGAAGGGTTTAGGGTTCTAGGGTTTAGGGGTTTAGGGCTCTAGGGTTCTAGGGTTCTAGGGCTCTAGGGTTTCGGGTTTCGGGTTAGGGTTTAGGGGTTGGGGCTACTAGCACTACCGGACTTCGCACGAGTTACAGATACATTTACATAGATACATACATACTCATCTGGTACCTATACCTTTACCTGTACTTCTACTTCAACCTGTACTTGTGTCTTAGCCTGTTCGCACCTATAATGACTCTTAAACCTGCATATGCCCCTACTTTAAAGCATCAACGAACGCAATGGTTCCCTCTTTCGGGGCAGCCATGTGTTTCACAAAACGTCCGTGGTCGAATGACGGACCTGGCCTTAACAGTGGAGGCCGGTCTTGGTCTGAGCTTGCGAGACGGCCGAATCCCCGCTTTCTGAAAACCCTACTTTTGTGGAAGCAGTATCGTTTATCGTTCTGCAAGAGGTGCTTCTGCAAGCATGTCGTTGAGGTTGGCTTGCGCTCCATTATTTTCTCACTGACTTTAGCGATTGCGAAACCCTCCCTGCACAGGTCTCCTCAGCCGGCAGAAAAGCAGACCAGGACGAGCGAAAGCTCTGATCGCCATCTGCTGGATGGTTGTCAAACTGCCGTACCTCACCTGGGTGGCAACAAGCGTTAAGCACAGAAAGTTGGCACGTGGACATCACGTCTCATACTTGGTGACTTACCCAGAGACTCCAAAACCCCTTAATTAAGGAATACCATAAATTATAATAAGAACTCTAAGAAGATTTAAGGGATGTTCCTTAATAAAGGTATTTTGGAGTCTCTGGGTAGTAGCAACAGTAGTGGGAATGGTCTTGATATCGAGCTTCAGCTTTGCCGTAGGGAGCTCGAGGGAGCGGGGCTGCCTTCTGCGTCAATGCAGCAAAGCAACCGTAAGGCCGCAACCTGTAATCCCTAAACCTTAAAGAACGCAAGGGATTTAGGGCTTTAGGGGTTTAGGGATTTAGGGACTTGGGGCAGATGTGCTTGTTAATGGGGCACCCAGAGACTCCAAAACGCCTTAATTAAGGAATATACCTTAAATCTTATTAGGGTTCTTGCTATAAATTTAAGGTATAATTCTTAACTAAGGGGGAGTCTCTGAAAATCCCTAAACCTTAAAAGACGCACGGCGCAATGCCGGACCCTGTAAGCCCTGGTCCCACCCCAGAGAGCCCAACAGCCCTTAAGTACGGAATATACCTTAAATTATAGCGGCCTTCATATTTTGATTTAAGGTATATTCCTTAATTACGGGGTATCGGGCTCTCTGGGTCATACAGGCTCGAAGCCTCAACACCCCTCAACAACCCCTGCGCCCCTGAGCTGCAATCCTTGGAATCCCGAGTGGCTCTTCTTCAGCAGAGGCTTCGCCAGCTTCTTCAGCGCGCGCCTCTCCGATCCGTCTGCAAAGCCCTCCACAGAAAAGACCACCTCGGGGTTTCGCAAAACTTAGTAATATAGGGGCCTTAGTAATTGGAACCGCTTTGACCACGGTTCATTGAAGGATCTGTAGGGGTTTTGTAAGGCTTATACAATGTCGGGGTCTAGACATTAGAAGGAATTCTGGGCCAGGTGTCATAGAATTTGCAAGCGGCTCGAGGGTACAACTTTTTACAATCTGGGTCCCTATAGGAAAGTGTTTTGTTCTCAAGGCCCGTGTAGTAGCTGTGATCATCATGTGAGTTACTGTCAACTTTCCTGATAAACCCAAAACGACATGGTTGCGTGGTAAGGACCTCCAAGTCCCGAACCCCAGAAACAAACCCAACAGGAGCAGCCATGCTAAACCTAAAAGCCTAAACTCCTAGCATAACAACCCTAAACCCTAAACCCTGGCCGTAGCACTATTCCCAAAGGAGCCTTTGCTAAAGAGCTGCGAAGAGCTCAGCCAGGCGACAAGACGAGTTTTTTTGGCACATCTCATAGTACAACCATTAAGAATTACCAAGGAATCCTAATGAATGATACTTGGTGCTGAATATTATCCTGAGTGTTCCAAGTATACTAGGGAACACTGCGGAATGCAATGTAACATTATTATTGGGGCTCCTTATCCACTCCTCCTTATGATATACACTATAATTACTATCCCTAAACCCTAAACCCTAGAAACCCTAAAAACCCTAAAAACCCTAACAACCCTAAACCCTAAACCGTAACGGTTGCTTGAAAGCTAAACCCTTCTAGAAAATGTGCTGAGGAACCTCTACTTGCAGCCTTTGCAGAACCTTGATGTAGGGGGCTTTATACTTAGAATAGGGTTTTGGAGTGAAATTATACTATACTTCCAAAAGGAGCCCCCCCAAAACCCTATTCTAGTTATTAAGGCCCTTATGTTCTTTAAAATGTGAATCATTCCTTTGGGCTCCTTGCTCCTTGCTATGATGACTTTACTTGAACTAGAGTCAGTGGCTCTTGAACAGCTATGCCGGGTTAATGCAGGGGTGTGAGTAAGAAAAAATCCGGGTTTTGGGGTCCATGATACTAGAAATATAATAAGGAGCCCCGAATCTATTTGGTCCCCTAAATCCCTAAACCCTAAAACCCTTATGCCAGGTTACTGGTCTCAGTGAGAGAGTGCGGAGCTCCACCGCCTGCGCCCCAAGGCCCAAGGCAACGCTGCGCCGGAAGCCCAAGTGCACAGCAGGGTACAGAAACTCCTTGGGACATCTAGGGTTTTTAGTGTTTAGTGTTTAGGGTTTTTGGTTTAGGATTTAAGGGTTTAGGGTTTGGGGCTTAGGGTTTAGGCTTTAGGGTTTTTTGTTTACGGATTGAGGGTTTAGGGTTTCGGGTTTTTCGATTGTGTCATAGAGTTTTCTAGTCCTACCAAGCTTCTACTACAGGTTGTCACGGATGGGGCTTCAGGGATTCACAGGAATCTCGGGGCCTTAATAATTAGAATAGNNTTTAGGGTTTAGGGTTTATTGGAGGCGATCCGGAAAGAGCCTAACTATTTCGTAAGTTGTGATGCCTGAAGCTGGAAACAGCGCTGTTGGAAGTCTGGTTGCACGTGAGATGAGTGCTCGAGGGATTAGACTAACGGTCTTGATCCCCTAAACCCTAAACCC